TCAATGGTATACAACACCGACAAGTTGACGACTTAGACACACGTGAAACATCTGGGTATCTTTATTTTGTAGACGTTTCGCCATACAATGACGTTATCAGTACAATACACGGACAAACTGAAGACTGTAGAGGAGGAGGTAATCAATCCCTCATCCTAGGAACAAGTACTGAGCACAGTAGTCTTGATTCATCAAGACTGCTGTGCTCTCCCCATCCTCTACTGTCTTCTATATATAATTATGCAAGGCTGAGGGACTGATTACCTCATCTTTTACCGTCTTCTGTACATAATTCTGCAAGGTTAAGGGACTGATTACCGCCTCTTGGACAGTCTTCTGTTTATGTCCATGTACTGATAACCACTGGATAGCGAAACGTCTATGAAATAAAGATACCCAGATGTACACCTGTGTGATTCACCACTACTGTATCATAGTTGTCAGCTGATACTAGTGGTACCCACTGAAAACATAGAAGACAAACCAAATCTTCCAGTGGAATTCAGCAAACAATACAATGTGCAACGAGGTCAAACTGCAGCCCCGCTATGGAAACACTGGGAAATTGTTTATATAAACTTAACAATACAAAGCGTAATTAACCCTTTCAGTACAGCACAAACCCTGGGATCAAGCCGGAAGATTTTACATACAACAGAGCACAAACCCCAGGATCAATAGCGGGAAGATCTGACTTTCTGAGAACATAACAGTGCTAGTATCACAACTCTCAGCTCAACAGTAAGACAAGGATTTATTTCCAAGCGAGTCGAGAAAGTTTCCTGGCACTTGTTGTTCCTGTTCATCTATTAGTAAATAAATACCCAGGTGTCAGCTGACTCGTGGGTGCCATACGAGGGACTGGCACTGTGTCTCAGATATGGATGAGGTCGGAAATGAGCGAAAGCATGATAATAGCTCTTAACCTGAAAAAATGCAAAAATAACTGGCTGAATAACAAAATAATTCTAAACAAAAGATGCCAATCCAGTGATGACTCGTCTCAAGGAATATACAACCTAGACTGACATATTGCTATACAACGTATACCGTGTATTAAGATATATGAAATTGCAGATTTGAAGAACATACAGAATTACAGATTCTATACTGCCAGTATCAAATCAATTATTTAAAATACTGGGGGGAGCGCCTGAAATCTCTCAAGAGTATACACCCTGGAGGGCTTGTCACATTGATATACAATAGTATACACCACTCAACCCTATACACTACCTCACTCATGCATATTTCATATACATAGTATACATTTTTTTCTATTACGCCCACCCAATTCCTATCAACAAAAATATTCCATAGTGTATATAATAACATTTTCCCCTATCTTTTTGTGTTCAAAATACAAAAAAAAGCTAAAAATGATGCCATGGCTATATGAATTGATTGTAGGTGTCGTGGTATTTCCATTACGTTGATTGAGGCTCTCGTATGAGCTCTTCTATGCCATGGTTAATATGTTTGTAACTCTCACCCCGCCAGCTAGAGCCCCACCACACTCCAGATACTGATGGCGAGATCAACACTACCATGGACCAGACCACAGGGACCACCGCCCCCGTTGCCCGGTCCTAGAACAGGCCTCCTAGCTGAAGGCCTGTATATGGTGGCTGGTAATGCTGGCCTATTTCAGTAGAGTCATGATTTATGTAATGCCAGTTAATATATTTATTGTTGACAATGAATTTATTGAATGTAACCTTATGATCGTTTTGCTGCTCAAGACTGTGCATGCAAGTCGGAACTTCGATTAGGTTGTAGTCAAGAGTTTTCTTAATTTGTGAATGTAAGCTCAATGACGATTTCATTCTTTGTTGGCTTAAGATGAATTTATCAAGGTATTAATATTTCGCTATTCATCCGACCTGCCTGCTGGTATTTTCTCTGCTATTACACTACTTGCTAAATTTTTTTTTTTAATTTTAAATGTCTTACATTTAAACCACAAAGCAACATGATGCTTGGGGTCGGGTCTGAAAGATTTTCTAGATACTATTTTTTATTTTCAATAGTAGGTTTTTGAACTGCTAGAACTTGTATCCGTTGGTTTTACTGCTAAAACTTCAACTACATGCAAATAAGCCACTCTTAACATCCATACCACATCTCTCCTTGTGGCCTGATTTTCTTCACTCGCATCCAAATACAGTAAACCACATTGTCCAAACTGTGTTGTCAAAGTAGTCTTTTATGTTGGTCTCACTGTGAGAGTTGCAAACAATGCGTCTCGCCCGGTGAGAAGTCTCCTAATAAACAGTATTTTGTTGTTACTAGATTTTAGACTTTGCATGTTTGTAAAAATAAATTATGTATTGTTTGTTGAGGGGTTTTTCTTTACCAACATTAATATCTGTGGCTGTGACGAGGCAGCTACTGCCTTGTTCTCACTCCAGCATGGCTCCCAGGTGCTGGAATATTGATATTTCCTGCACTTTTTCAATTCATGGCGTATGAAAAAAATAACTGGCGTCTAAATGTGTGACAACAGGTGGTTCAGTGTTACTTATGGGTGCTCTTTTAGAATAGTTTATAATATTTATATTATCAAGAACCTTGTGACAACACTTTATTGAAAGCCACAGCGAAGATTAACAATGTTGCCACTATCATTCTGGGATTATAATTTTTTCTCATACAAAATAAAGTGACGATGTTTGTAGATTGTTACACGAGCAACACAGCAATATATCCAGATATTGCTGTCACTGTTCACGGTCGCTTCATGTTACATATGAACAATATTGAATACTTGTCTGACACAACTTCGTGGAATCCTGGTTCAGAGAATTCTTCTGCAACTCTAATTATTGCCTAACCTACTGGCACGGCCCACTTCTAGCCTGCTTCACTCACCTCACATGCTATCTTTAAACGCCTTCACCTCCCCTGCCATTAGTATACTAGTCTCCAACTTAGGGCATCTATTTCAGAGTCATCAAGACTGTTGGACCGAGCACCTTTCTAAGCTGAGGGACCGATCACCTCAAACAACTAGCACGCGTCTTCCACAGTCTTCAACAGATTCATTTGAGGCAAAGATCACCTTAAACTACTATATGGTGTGATGAGAGTATACTGTTTTTGTGACTGTAATGTCTGATTAGTTCCTCGTTGTTTGTGAAAATCAAATCCCGTGCAGTTTAACTTCTAGTGGGATCAGTTATCTGTTGGTTCAAAGCGAACTTTATACGAAGCCCCATTAGTTCCTTGATTTACCGGGTTGTTGCTGTCAGCAATCTGCATGCCCAGGTCGTTAGAACACTGGAGTTAAGAGATACGATAACAAACAAGTTTTTAAAATGACACGAGAAAATGGATAAGATTTCTTAATATCTGTATTAAGAAGAAACTGGCAAATTACGAAAGACGCTTCGCGCGCGTGCACAAAAATCTGCACAATCCAGGGCAACATGGGTTCAGGGCAGGTCGCTCCTGCCTCTCACAACTACTGGATCACTATGACATGGCCTTGGATGCACTGGAAGAAAATCAGAATGCAGATGTAACATACACAGACTTTGCAAAAGCATTTGACAAATGCGATCATGGCGTAATAGCCCATAAAATACGTGCTAAAGGAATAACTGGGAAAGTGGGGAGATGGATCTTCAACTTCCTAACAAATCGAACACAAAGAGTAGTGGTCAACAGAGTTAAATCGGAGGCTGCCATAGTGAAGAGCTCTGTTCCACAAGGCACAGTACTCGCCCCTATCTTATTCCTTATCCTCATATCAGACATAGACAGAGATATACACCACAGCACCGTATCATCCTTTGCGGATGATACTAGGATCTGCATGAGGCTGTCATCTGCTGAGGACGCGGTTAACCTCCAAGAAGATATAAACAAAGTTTTCCAGTGGGCAACGGTAAACAATATGATGTTCAATGAGGACAAATTCCAACTACTCCGTTATGGAAAACTGGAGGAGATAATAACTAGAACAGAGTATACTACTGACTCCGGCCATACAATAGAGCGGAAAAATAATGTAAGGGACCTGGGAGTAGTAATGTCTGAGGATCTCACTTTCAAGGATCACAACAGTGCCACGATCGCACGTGCAAAGAAAATGATAGGATGGATAATGAGAACTTTCAAACCGAGAGATGCCAAGCCCATGATGATCCTTTTCAAATCACTTGTTCTCTCTAGGCTGGAATACTGCTGTACATTAACATCTCCATACAAAGCAGGTGAAATCGCAGATCTAGAGAGTGTACAGAGATCCTTTACTGCACGTATAAGTTCTGTCAAGCACCTTAACTACTGGGAACGCTTGGAAGCACTTGACTTGTACTCGTTGGAACGCAGGAGGGAGAGATATATCATAATCTACACTTGGAAAATCTTGGAAGGAATGGTCCCAAATCTGCACACAGAAATCACTCCCTACGAAAGTATAAGACTGGGCAGGCGATGCAAAATGCCGCCAATAAAAAGTAGGGGCGCCATTGGTACACTAAGAGAAAACACCATAAGTGTCCGGGGCCCAAAACTGTTCAACAGCCTCCCATCAAGCATTAGGGGAATTGCCAATAAACCCCTGGCTGCCTTCAAGAGAGAGCTGGACAGATACCTAAAGTCAGTGCCGGATCAACCGGGCTGTGGCTCGTACGTCGGACTGCGTGCGGCCAGCAGTAACAGCCTAGTTGATCAGGCCCTGATCCATCGGGAGGCCTGGTCATGGACCGGGCCGCAGGGGCGTTGATCCCCGGAATAACCTCCAGGTAACCTCCAGGTATACTCCCATATAGTGAATGACAGACTGCATGGGATGTGAGAGAAGGCAGTATGGTAGTTAAAACTGCTGCTAACTTGAATATATACACATGGTATACTAAACATACAAGGCAGAACACCACTATTAGTCCAATAGATACACACACAAATATATGTGTATATGCAATACAACACTTATAAATAAGTATAAGTAGGTCATACATACAAGTACAGAATACAGAGAGATAGGTACAGACCTGGTAGAAGGTTTTTATGTGCTGAAGAAGGGCGGCGAGGTTAGCGAGGCGGGCGGCAGGGTCGGTCGGGTGGCGGTTCACCTGACGACCACAAACTTCCCGGGGATCCCTGAAACCACAACCAACACCATGTTAAACATAACAAAGTCCATATATGTATTTCCATACTATATCCTGTCGCTAAACACACACACACACACACACACACACACACACACACACACCTGCAACCACAATTAGACGAGTACATATATACATATTTTTTAAAGGCACAAACATGAATACAATATTACAAAATATCAAAGATTATGAATCGCCTCCAGTTCCTCTGAACCTGGATGCAAGCCAAGTATACAGCAAGCATTTCCCCTCTGGATGGCCATGCTGGGATACTGGAGCATAAAAGTGGCCACCCTTAGGTCCCTGGAGTGTCAATGAGCCTGGAACCCAGTCTTTGAGGAAATGTGTGACATTCTTTTCCCATGATCCCAGGGTCTCCGATCTCACTGGGAAAAAAATTGATACTGATGGCTTGTTGATCTTGTACTCCTCCCTGCGATCCGCAGCACCTTCCTGTTGCTCAATGCTGTGATGAATGTAGGTGTCAGTCGGGGTCGACACGCAGCTATAGTCCCATGCTAAAAAGCTTGCCATTCTTCCAAGGATAGATGGTGATGAGATCGGGGCGGTTTGTGGGATTGTGAATATTGCTGGATGTTAAGGATAGGGGCTCTCTCTCAGCCAGGCACCCAGCTGTAGCTTTATAATGTCGTTGACTTCACTGTGCCTCACGTGCTAACCCTTGGTTTTGGAGCAGTTTAGACTGTGTAGACCATATAGTTGGGCTTGCGTATCGCAGCAAACACACACACATTCTGTGTGAACTGGGGCAGCGAAGCGGATAGCCAATGCAGTACGGAGGGCCTGTAGGTCGAGTCATGTGCCCACTGCCGAAATCGGAATCGTTAGATCCCCCAGATATATATATATTATATATATATATATATATATATATATATATATATATATATATATATATATATATATATATATATATATATATATATATATATGTCGTGCCGAATATGTAAAACTGGTCAATTAGCAAGAACTCATTTAAAATTAAGTCCTTTCTAAAATTTTCTCTAATACGTTTAAAGATATATTTTTTCATTAATGTTCATGTAAAAATTTATAATTTTGCACCAAAAGGAGCTTAGAAAACTTACCTAACCTTATTATAACAAGCGCAATTTATTTTAGCCTAACCCAACAAAATATATTTTAGATTTGTTTACAATAATTTAATACTAAACAAACACAGTGAAATATATTTTTTTTTCGTTAGGTTCAGAATGATTTTGGCGAAATTATTGCATACACAAATTTTCACTTGTCCTATATGGCAAGATGAGCGTTGCTATTTAAGCCAAGATCGCAAGTTCTGCTTATTCGGCACGATATATATATATATATATGTGTGTGTGTGTGTGTGTGTGTGTGTGTGTGTGTGTGTGTGTGTGTGTGTGTGTGTGTGTGTGTGTGTGTGTGTGTGTGTGTGTGTGTGTCGTGTGTCGTGTCAAATAGGTAAAACTGGTCAATTAGCAACAACTCATTTAAAATTAAGTCCTTTCTAAAATTTTCTCTTATACGTTTAAAGATATATATTTTTTTCATTTATATTAATGTAAAAATTAATAATTTTGTACCAAAGGACCTTAGAAAACTTACCTAACCTTATTATAACAAGCTCAATTTAATTTAGCTTAAGACCTGAAAAAGAAGAAACGCTGTCACCATCCCTCACTCCGTCACTGTCTTGCCAGAGGCACTCCGATACTACAGTTCTGATGCCCCTTGAAACTAAAATATCCCCACCCCTCCTTCAGAGTGCAGGCACTGTACTTCCTACTGGGTAGGGCTCCCTTTACCACCGGAAAAGCCTGAATTCTTCGTGGAATGGATTCAATAAGGTGCTGGAAACATTCCTTAGAGATCTTGGTCTATGTTGACATGGTAGCATGATGCAGTTGTTGCAGATTTGTCTGCTACATATTCATACTAAGAATCTCCCATTTCATCACAGCCCAAAGGTCTACGCCAAATTCTGACTCTACTAACTGCAAGTCCCAGAAATCACGATTCGTCAGACCAGGCGACGTTTTTTCCAACCTTCAACTGACCAGTTTTGATCCTGTGCCCACTGTAGTCCCAATTTTCTGTTCTTAGCTGACAGGAGATCTGTAGTCCTCTGCTGCTGTAACCCATCCACTTCAAGGTTCGATGTGCTGTGCATTCAAAGATGCTCTTCTGCATAATAGTGTTGTAATATGTGGTCATTGCATTAATGTTGCATACTTGTCAGCTTGAACCAGTCTGGCCATTCTCCTTTGACGTCTCTTGTTAACAAGGTGTTTTCGTCCACAGAACTGCCACCCACCGGATATTTGTTTTCACACTATTCTCTGTAAACTTTAGATCCCATTTCTTCCTCATTCTAATGTTCAGTGTAAACAACAACTTAACCTCTTGACCATGTCTGCATGCTTTTAGGCACTGAGGTGCTGCCACATGATTGGCTGATTAGACATTTGCATTAGTGAGCAGGTGTACAGGTGCACTTGTTGATGCTACGTATGATATCCTAAGTATAGTATCCTTCCACCAAGAAACAGTCCATCCATTCAAGTGACTAACAATCACTTTCTATCCTAATAAACTGGAGAATCATTTTTCCACTAAGACAAATAACCAGTTACACATACACCAGAAGTCTCTCGGATACCATGCAAAGACTGCAGTCAGGTACACATCGGGCAGACTAGAAAGATACTATCAATGAGGACCAATAAACACGAGAGGACAATTCACTATAGATAATAGTGTTCAGCCGTCTGTCGACATGTAAGCAATAACAACCACAGTATTTACTGCTATCACTCAAATCTAACTACAGCTACAACTAAGAAAAATCATATAATCAGCTCTAATTGCCACGAAGATAATGGAAACCAGATGTTTCAAGTTACACCCTTAAGTACCTACCAGCAGCCAACTTAAATCAATATTAGCAATGCAACTGGAATACCATATTAAAGCACTGCAGTGAGTGTGTTTGCCCATCTTGGAGTTGGTTCCACTCACCTGCTCCCTCACTTTACACTCATTATGTCATTGTCTTCACCTGACGGACTCACTCTGAAGACGACTGCAGTTGGGGGTCGAAATATACAGAACTTTACCCTTTGTGTTTCTGTCCTCATGTGGGTTACTGCTTAGCCTATTATATATTATATATATATATATAATATATATATATATATATATATATATATACATATATATATATATATATATATATATATATATATATGTGTGTGTGTGTGTGTGTGTGTGTGTGTGTGTGTGTGTGTGTGTGTGTGTGTGTGTGTGTGTGTGTGTGTGTGTGTGTGTACTCACCTATTTGTGGTTGCAGGGGTCGAGTCATAGCTCCTGGCCCCGCCTCTTCGCTGATTGCTACTAGGTCCTCTCTCTCCCTGCCCCATGAGCTTTATCATACCTCGCCTTAAAACTATGTATGGTTCCCGCCTCCACTACGTCACTCTCTAGGCTATTCCACGGCCTGACAACTCTATGACTGAAGAAATACTTCCTAAAATCCCTTTGATTCATCTGAGTCTTCAACTTCCAATTGTGACCCCTTGTTTCTGTGACCCTTCTCTGGAACATCCCGTCTTTGTCCACCTTCTCTATTCCGCGCAGTATTTTATATGTCGTTATCATGTCTTCCCTGACCCTCCTGTCCTCCAGTGTCGTCAGGACGATTTCCCTCAACCTTTCTTCATAGGACATTCCCCTTAGCTCTGGGACTAACCTTGTCGCAAACCTTTGCACTTTCTCTAATTTCTTGACGTGCCTGATAAAGTGCGGGTTCCAAACAGGTGCTGCATACTCCAGTGTGTGTGTGTGTGTGTGTGTGTGTGTGTGTGTGTGTGTGTGTGTGTGTGTGTGTACGTACTGTATTAAAGAGCGAGAAAGGTGGAGGTGAATAGTTTGCACAAAAGACCTTCAAATCTCCACATTCTTCCTTCTTCAAGAGTTCCACAGTAATGGGAAAGTTTTAAGAGAACAATAGAGCTGCTTAATATTTCAACATCACACGTACTTCTATTATTAATTTTTACCTTCTGTTCACGTTATCTTTAATAATTTTATTATTCTCGTAATCTTAAGGGTTCCCATGCATTTGTTTTATGACTTAATGTTCCTCGGGATCATCACCCCTGCGGAGAAAATTCTCCAGTAAAGTGGATATCTCTCGGCCCCCTCAGCCCTCTGAGGGACTTAACCCTCCCGGAAGGGGCTAGTGGACTCTTCTTTCCTCACAAACAGCTATATTAAACCCCCATGTATGTACCATAGCGTCACGAGGCACACTTTCTTCTCCTTGCTAGAGTTCATGATCAACTACACAGTGAGGGTTAAACAAGAGTAATTACTCTTTTCTCCATAACGGGAAAATTAAGGGAAAAACCTGCGCCCCACTTTATCTACAAGTTGAGACTATTATAAATTCTAATCTGTAGCTAAATAACAAGAAACCTACACTCTTGTATTGAATATTGTTGCAATGTGTAGCAAGGAAGAGATATAAAGCTGAGTTCAGTATATCCTTTGTGGGGACGATGAGCTGGAGGGCTTGTAGATGAATGGTTCAGAAAACCGACACGTTGATAAATTAGACACATGTGCAGCTCTTGAGTATCTTTATTGAGGAAACGTTTCGCTACACAGTGGCTTCATCAGTCCATACAAAGGAGAATGGTGAAGAACAGGAGGAGTTTGAGGTAATCAGTCCCTTAGCCTTGAGTCGATATCCTCAGTCCATCAATCTTTTCAAGATTGATGGACTGACCATATCGACTCAAGGCTAAGGGACTGATTACCTCAAACTCCTCCTGTTCTTCACCATTCTCCTTTGTATGGACTGATGAAGCCACTGTGTGCGAAACGTTTTCTCAATAAAGATACTCAAGAGCTGCACATGTGTCTAATTTATGATCGAGCTGGAGAACGAGGGCGGCGGGCCTCAGATTGCTTCAAGGAACG